CATGGCTAATCTCTTGTAGTTGCCAAGAAATCAAAGAATCAAAACAATAAATTTATTATGACTTTTAGCAGAAAAATAGTACCTCTACCCTCTTATTTTTACTTTTTTATTAATATACTAATAACTCGACATTAACATCTAACAATTTATATTAATACAAGAATATAATATAAAACTGTTATTAGTATAATGAGTAACTCGACGTTTAATTAACGGATGATTTTAGACATCAATTACGTATACCATGTATACCAAAACAAATACTGCATATCGAAAGTTAAACGTTCAATTTTATGTTTAATTTGTGTTGTATATCAAAAGTTAAACGTTCAATTGTATGTTCAATTTATCTTGTATAGGTCAATTGCCTTTGTAAATTTTTAACATTACGTGTACCAAGAACAGGTAAGACCTCATTAATCGGAGATTCACCAAAATATTTATCCCAGAGGACATGGAATCTTTTTGGAAATATCTTCATACTTAAACAATAAGTAAAATGAATAAACATTGTCTTACCATAGTCCACTGGTATTTTTTCTTTTATAGGTGTTTCTATAATTTTTTGACGAATTGAATTATAATTGTTAAAATTTAGTGGTTGATCAATTTTATATTTCAATAACAATAATCGATAATTAAAACATTCTTCAATAATTTTATTAGGATATTTATTAAATAATAATGCTAGTCTTAATCTTTCGCGCTCATCTAAATAAGCTTGAAAGGTTGAACAGTATCTAATAATACGAAGAGCCATAGTAAAAATTATGTTCTTTTTCATGTGTAATGGATGTACACTGTTGAACGGCAAATAATATGGTTCATAAGATGGCTTCTGATAAACAGTCGTAATTAACTGACCATTCTGATTTTCCATATGTAAATCAAGAAAATCAGCTGTTGAACCAATATTTTCTGATAATTTAATATTTTCATCAAAATGATTCCATCGATCAATTTGTTTAAATAAATGTCGAGCGGGCCAATTAATTGCTATAAATATATCATCAATATATCTAACATATAATCCATCGCTATTATTAATTTGCTTTATAGTTTGTTGTTCATAAAAGAACATATAACAATTAGCAACAGTAAGTGTAAGTGGAGAACCCATTGCTCCTCCACGAACTTGATGATAAAATTGGCCATCATAAGAAAAATAATTATTTTTCATTACAAATCGACCCAATCTAATTATTGTTTCAATTTTAAGACCACTAATTTGTTTTAATTTTATATAATCTAACATTTTCTTTAATGAAAGTACTCCTTCAGTTTGTGGCACCATAGTATAGAGGTCCATAACATCAATAGTACAAAATAAAGTTTCTTGACGCATATTAATACTTGACCATTGTTGCAACTGTTTGACTAATTCAAAGCCAGAGTTTACAGTCTTTTTTGCAGCCATCTTATCAAATAAAGGTCGAAGTAATTCATCAAGAAATTTTGAAATTTTAATTGTTGGATGCTTAAGACCAGACACTATTGGACGAAGAGGAGTACCAGGTTTATGCGCCTTAGGTAAATAATATAAATGAGCAAGTTCA